GCTGGCAGAGCGCCTTCTCCCACCTGTTTCCGTGTTTATTTCAAAGTTTTTACGATTACATATAAGGCCCTTATGTGTAATCATAAGAACTTTGAAATCAACACGGAAACGGATAGGCAGCCAATGCAAGGTGGCCAGCGTGGGGAAAATATGTTTTCAACCCAGTAAGAAGTCTGGCCGCCACATTTGTACCATCTGAAGTTTCCACGTCATTCTCAAAGGCAGCCCCACGTAGAGCGCATTACAGTAGTCTAAACTTGAGACTATGAGCGCATGGACCAACATAGTGAGCGCTCCCACATCAAGATAGGGATGCACCTGGGCAGTCAGCTGAAGATGGAAATGTGTGGAACGGACCACTGACGACACCTGGGTCTCTATGGTGAGCGCTGGGTCCAGATGTACACCCAAACTGTGGACCTCACTCTTGGTGGTGTCAACCCCCCCAAAGGATAGGGAGTTTCCCAGACCACTGATGTTTATGACACACACCCGAAGGACCTCCGTCTTGCCCAGATTCAGCCTCAGTCCATTCACCTGCATCCACTGCTGAACAGCCTCCAGGCAGCGCTCAAGGGACGAAACAGCATCCACTGTTGTTGGAAAAAAGGAGATATAGAGCTGAGTATCATCAGCGTACTGATGACACAAAGCCCCACATCCCCTGATGACCCCTTCCAGCAGCCTCATATAGATGTTAAACAGCATTGGAGAGGTAACTGAGCCGTGCAGAACCCCACAACTGAGGCTCCACAGGACGAGAAATTCTCTCCAATCTGCACTCTCTGGGGATGGTCCTCCAAGAAGGATCAGAGCCAGACAAGATCAAGACAACCAATTCCCAACTCGGAGAGCCTCCCCAGCAGAATTGATGCCTTTGAATTGTGGTGCTGGAGGAGTGTCCCTTGGACTGCAAGGAGATCAAACCTATCCATTCTGAAGGAAATCAACCCTGAGTGCTCACTGGAAGGACAGATCCTGAAGCTGAGGCTCCAGTACTTTGGCCATCTCATGAGAAGAGAAAAGACCTTGATGTTGGGAAAGTGTGAAGGCTAGAGGAGAAAAGATGGCTGGACAGTGTCATCATAGCTACCAACATGAATTTGACCCAACTCTGGGAGGCAGTGGAAGACAGGAGGGCCTGGCGTGCTCTGGTCCATGGAGTCACGAAGAGTCGGACACAACTTAATGACTAAACAACAACAACAGAAACTGATTAAAGTGAGGCCAACCATTGTTTTCTGATACCCCTCTCCAGCCACCAGGAATCTAAAAATAATTAAAGTTACAAGGATCTCGATGCATGACAGCAAACTCAGGGGAATCAACTCACATTTCTTTTCACCTAAAATCTTTTTTTTTTTTTTTGCTCCTTTTATGGTACAGAATTCATCTGAAGCACAAGAAAATGCCAACTCATGCCAAGATTAAATTTCAAAAGTTAGAGATATCACACCAAAGAATACAGGTGAACATGATATGGGTCTGATTTGAACAAAAATCCAGACTACAGTGCTGAGTTGTGAAGGGAAAGAATATCTAAGAAAAACAAATCGATTTCCTTGCTCCTGAAAAGTTGTCATGAAGAAAATTCTAACAAATATAAAAAGAGGTTTAAGTTCTGGGAAAGGATGAAAGATTATTTTAAAGAGCACCTTGTTGTTAAACATCCCACAGATGTTTGAGAAACAGTATTTCTCAAGTTTCAGATTATTATTTTCTCTTCCTTTTATATTCATGGCCTTCAGTTCACCAAGGAATTGTATCTTGGGTAGATTTAGAAACAGAAACTAGAATATTTTCCACATAACATTTTTTTTTCCTTCAAAGCTTTTAAATGGCATCAATGTGTGTACAAAAATAGCTTCAGCTTCCTGTATCTCATATGATAAGCATATATTTCAAGTTGACGTTTGTTAAACTGCAGTCTAGTCCTATGAACCCATATGAGTAGGCATGCTGGGCACAGAAAGGGGTCTGGATGCTCAAAAGAAGAACCTACAGAGAAATACTTGTTTCAGTTGTAGCTAGTGCACATTTCTTATGGCTCTTGTGAATCCAGAAGAGTCAAAAGGTAATCTCCCAAAAAGGGTAGGTCAAGAAGTCTCTCATTTTCTTGGCCCTCACCAATCAGAACCACCTGGTACCATTGCGATTTACCAGAGAAAAGAGTCCTTGCCATCACAAAAGTACTAATGCCTGCTGCCAATGCAACAGGTGAAGCAAATCCACCTGTAGCTGCATGAAAGAGAAAAGATCCTAGAAATTAATGTTTTTGTGATTTGTTCTATGAACGTTTGTGAATGTACACAAGTATACTTAATCTCAAACATATAAAAATGGTACAGCAGCAAAATACAACTGTAAATCTAAAAAACTATCTGCTTTTTGACCCAGTTCTGTGGCTTTCTCTGTACTTACAATATAAAGTTATGTTGTAATAGTTGATATAATTTAAGATGTTATAATTATGTCTCTTTTATAAACACTTAAGTGTTATTTTTTGTTGCTTTGTTTTGATTTGTTTTGGTTAGAAGACAGATCGCTGCCTTTCCTACATTCTACTGGCTCCTTACTAATGGAGCAGCAAGTAAGCTTATGAAGATGCATGCTGTGATGTCAGCAACAGCTAATGATCTCTCAGGCATTCTCATGACAACATGGGACATAAAGCTTTGAGCTGATTAAAGCCCATGATCCAAAATAAGACGTGCTGCTACTGGAGGGATCAAATCATACTAAGTGGCAATTACTCAACAGATCTGTTTAAATGCCTAACAATTGTATTATTTAGTTCAGTAAATTCAAAAACAAACAAAAATACCAATGTTATATAGCAGAAGATATGCAAGTCCTCTTCCAGCAGGACCCTTTGCTCAACAGGAAAATGAAAGTAAATATGGATATTGAAATTGTTTCTAATATACAACAAGGATTTCTGTCTGACATTTAACACCTATAGAAACAAATATCTCAAAATCAAACTTGTGTAATTTGCATTTGCTTCTGAAATTAGAGCGATTAAAGAATACTTAAATCTACATCAACAAATAAGATTATTCAGATAAAATTTCTCCAATACCTTTAGTTTTAAGATAACAAGAAAAACACTGAATCTACTTGTGCCTTTGGAGGAAGAACTGACAGTAGCTCAGTCTTGTCCAGCATCAAAAGTTCTGGCAGCAAGCCAGCAAACCACTTAAAGCTGTGAGTAGCCCTAATGAAGTTCTTCCTCATGTACTGCTGGATCAGAGCAAGTATTCAGCAGCACAGAGAGATAATGTCCAGCAACAAATTTTTAGAAAACAAGATGAATTTTGTATGATAATTTGTTTGATCAGTGAACAAGTGCCCTTTAATTTTGGCAAATGTAATGACACTGGTCCACTAGAATAAAGCAGGAAGCTGGAACAAAAACAGTACTTCTATCATTTGACTTCACTAAAATTATTTTAAAATCATATTTTCTATTACACATATTTGTTCCAATTACTATACTAAAAAGAAGTTTTCAAGAGCTATTAAGATCATTTTCCAATCATCAAAATTATTAAATACAGCAATATGAGGTTTTTCACTGGTTCTAAGAAAATGCAACTATATACATTGAATTGTCTCCATGTGAAATAACTTTAGTTCAAATGTTTTAAAATCATTCAAACATTGCTAGATTTGATTCTTACACCGATAATAACTGAATGTTTTCAAGTCAATTTTAACTTACAGAGACCTCTTCCAGGGTTTTCTACATATCAAAATAATCAGAAGTGGTTTACTTCTCCCTTCTACAGTGGGGTCTCGACTTACGAACGGCTTGACATACGAATGTTTTGACTTACGAACCGCTCTCATAGGAATATATGGACTCGACTTACGAACTTAGATTCGAGTTACGAACTCTTTTTTCTCTTTTTTTAAAGCTAAGTCATCTTAGGTTAAAAGGAAAAAAAAGAAAAAATATCCCCCTCTAGTGGCAGAAGGCAGAATAGCAGCTTCCCATTAGTTTCTATGGACGAAAAGAGCAGATACGGATTAAATGGTTTTCAATGCATTCCAATGGGAAATGCAGATTCGACTTAAGAACTTTTCGACCTGAGAACTGCCTTCCAATACGGATTAAGTTCGTAAGTCGAGACCCCACTGTACTAGGAGCATCCTGGGACTGTGCAGCTTGCCAAGGCTATACACACTGACTTTCATTTCTCCTGAGGAGGCACAGTGAGGAATCAAATCCCCAACCTCTGGCTCTGCAGCCAGATACCTAACTCACTGAATTATCCATCAGCTATTATTGTATTAGGCCTGCCAAATATCCATTTTAAACACCATCTTACCTTGGACACTTCTTCCTTTCCACTGCTCTCTTTGATGAATACCTTTTCTAATTCAGGGCTTATTCCTTCTACATTGCACGGCACACGTGAAACTGTTGATTTTGGCACTGAACTGTTTGACAGTGGCATAGGGACTGATCTGGAGACAGAAGCCTTTAGAGCAAACAAGAGATATGTTGGATTCAATTAAAACTGGACATGTGGAGAATTAATACAATGAATGGTTAAACAAGGGACTTCTCAAAAAGTACCTTCTCAAAGTTGCAGTTCTAAGGGATATGCATTTGCTTTTTGAATCAAAGAGCACCTCAGAAGCTACAAGTTTTTCTGAGGCCCAGCAGCTCAGTACCATGCCCCACTGCCTTAGCAATCAGTGTAATGGATAGGGAAACAGGAGAAGGACATATGACTATAAAAGAAAAGAATGACTTACTAATTTTGACACTTAAAAAAGAAATATTAAACATATTATCCAAATCAAGCACTATACTGTATAGTGAAACCAATTGTTCAAGCCTCCGCAGCAAAGGTGCTGTGGGACAGCATGGTGAAGATTCGTTGCAGAAAGAAGTCAATCGTTCACCTATCTTAATGGATTTATATATACTGTGGGCAGACCTGCGATGGCCAGCTGCCTTTTTTCGTCCTAGGCAGGTCACACAGCTTCACCCCACCTCAAGAGGAAATCCCTAACAATGTTGATTTATGTGTTGGTAATCTTGAGGATAGACGAGTGCACTATTATCCCCTTGGGGCTGCCCTTGAAGGCATTTTGGAAGCTGCAAAAAGTGCAAAATTTGCATTCATTTTTAATATAACACTTAACTAATTAACAAAAGGATTTCAGAACATCTGACTTAATTAATGGTGCATTTCCCCTCATAAATAGAGAGTGGCGCATGGAAGTTCAGCATTTTAGCACTCACAGTCCTTTTGACGACCACTAGGGAAGAGCTCACAGGACTAGGGAGCTTTCAAGAGTGTCTTTCTGAGGACATTATACAACCTATCATCTTTCCAAATCTAACTAAAACACAGCATGGAGACATAATGTTTTATGGTGGACTAAATATGAGCCTTGTACATTACGCTACAACTAATATACATTTTGTACTTTTCTAAGAAGTTTGAGATTTGTGAAAAAAATATAAGCTATACCACCACACAGAGGAGAAAGCATATACTTTGATATCATAGCTTTGGCATTTTTTTCCATGTGGCCTGCTATGTCACAGTTAACTGGACCAGAGAGAAGATACCAGGAATAGGGGAACCCTAACCCATCACTGAACAGAAAGAACTTTCAAGCAGAGTGAATGTTACTTTCTCTTGCAGCAAAACCAAAGGTTTTTTTTTTGACAACCTTAAGGATTTAAGAAATACGTTTTCCTGTAGAAAATACAAGGAAGATCAGCAGCTGCTGCTGCTCTTAGAAGAAGTCTAAGCAAGACCTAACAGCACCACCACTAACTTCCTAAGACAATAAAGCGGCTGGGAGGATCTCTTGTACTGTCTAAAGATTGAAAACATGTTACATCCAATCACAATGCACACCCTGTGGCAAACAAGGTAAAACTGCTGAGTTTCAACTTCTCCAAAGCATCATTTAGAATTCTATACAATTCTAAATATTTGTAAGGAAGTAAGAATAAATCCTCTTTTTTTCTACATAGTCCCAATGACAATAGAAGAACATAGCTGTATGGGATTCCATGGCATCTATTAAATAATCTTTTAGAAGTTATAAACTATATTCAACCTTTTAAAGCATAACTAAAGGTAAGTATGAATACTGCATAATGAAGACAGGTGATAGCAGGAAGTAAAAATATTGCTATTCCTCTGTCGCTGCTGTAGTTAGGTATTTTGTATACAATAAACATTGACAAGCATATATTGTGTATAGTCCTTTAAGAGAGAATTTCTCAGAAGACCTCCATGACTAAATACAGTGGTGCCTCGCACAACAATTGCTTCATACAACGACGAATTCACACAGCGATGGGTTTCTTTGAGGAATTTCCCCCATCGTTTAACGATGTTCTCGTTCAAATGCTTTCAATGGAGAATAAAAAAAATTCACCAAAAATTAACGACGACTCAGAACAACACCAAATTAAGTTTGCATAGGGTTCAGGAAGTGGGCTAATGATTGCAAGCATTTAAAACAGGTTCCAAACATTGTAAGACACTTTTACAGGAGCGAAAAAGGACTTCACAAAGCCATTGAAATGCATTGAGTTGGCTTCAATGCATTTCAATTGGGGAACCGGGTTTCACTCAACGATGTTTCCTATGGCGATTTTCACATAAGGATGGCAATCCGTTCCAATTGGAACGGATTAACTGGTTTTCAATGCATTCCTATGGGAAATGGTGTTTCGCAGAATGATGGTTTCACACAGAGATGAATTTTTTGGAACCAATTAACATCGTTGTGCGAGGCACCACTGTAATGTGGTCAAGATAGCCAAGGAAGAATGGAAGGGAGATACAAAGGACCTCTTCAGTCTGCTGGACTGAGTGAGCTGGTAATTGTGATAACTATTACTGTATTTTTCCATTTATAACACACCACCCCATTTTCTAACCCCAAAAATTAAGAAAACTTAGCTTTGAGGATTCAGCCTCTGGACTCAGAACATTGGATATTTCCAGTCTCTGTTGAAGCTGAACCTACAGGTTCCATCTCCAAGGAGGTACGTTCCAATTGGTTTGTTCAGGATCAGCAGACGTCAGTTCCATAAGGCTCGTGACTGGAGGAAGCTAAGTCTCCTGACTGTAGGAAACTAAGCTTTGTGACTGAAGGAAGCCTATTTACAGAGGCAAGGTATGTGCCGTTTTGTTCTCTCCTCAACTATCTCAGCTTAGTTCCATGTAAAAGACACCCCACAATTTTTAGTGTAATGATTTTAGGAAAAAGTAGTGTCATATAGACGGAAAAATACAGTATTTTCTGGCTACCACAAATCTAAAGGAATACAGATAGGTAAACTCTCCTTGAAAATGACAACAACAGCACGCCCTGAGTGACCTTTTAGTGGGCAAGGCTCCCTCTAAAGTGCACACGTGTGTGCATGTGCAACACTGTCCCCCTCCGTGCAGGGCTCCTCCTCCTCTCACTCACAGCAATCATTTTCAGCCCCTTTAGTTCCAGTAATGATGGACACCACCCAGTGGGGCTGAAAATTAGAGGGAACATTGTTAATGGGTAATGTAGATATCTAGATCTACAGAAAGAAACAGAAGTTAAGGCTAACCCTTGTTTCTGCCTACCTGAAAGCTCCAGTGAAAGCTTCATTGCACATTGATTATGTTTTTTAAAGATTATCTCTTCAACTGTTTCAAGATGCCACTTAATTATACTAGAATAAAATTCCCTTAAATTGGAAAAAAATACTAGTTAAAAGTGCAGATAAAACTGAAAAGGATATGCACTTTTATTTCTGTGGGGTGAAAAAAATGCTGCCTGAACAAGCCCAGGGTTTGCTTACCTGAGTCTGATTGATTGCTATATGGTTGCCATGGAGAGGTGACTGACGTTCTTTTTCTTTATTGTGACGACTACTCTGTTTACTGCGCTGGAGCTGCTGCCTCAATTTGGCAATCTGATAGGAAGAGACAAAATCAAATAAGATGAGGCATGGAAGAAACAATGCTCACATCTTCAGAGATGAGAAGAAAAAAGAAACCCTGCTGTAACAAGTAAGATTAGCTGGAAAACAACAGTACAACATCCCAGAAATAAAAGGAGGTTACCTATCTGTAACCATAGTTCTTCGAGTGGTCCTCTGTGAATTCACACAAATGGGTTGTTCTGCACCTGCGCTGAACGTCTCGGAAGATTCTAGAGCTTAAAGATACATGATCAGTGGGACATTCCCCTGTGCAGCGCATGCTCCACCCATCCTAGATTCCCCTCAGTTCCTGATAATTGTCCGCCAGGTCAAAGAGTTATTTAAGATAAACCATGATGGAGAGAGGGGAGGATGGGTGGGATGGGTGAATTCACAGAGGACCACTTGAAGAACTATGGTTACAGGTAGGCAACCTCCTTTTCTTCTTCGTGGCCTCTGGGAATGCACACAAATGGGTGACTAGCAAGCTTCACTTACCGGATGGTGGGACATCACGGTAGGAAGGATGCCAAGACAGCGCTGCCAAATCCAGCATCACTGCATACTCTAACATCTAGACGGTAGTGTCTGACAAAGGTCAATGGGGTAGACCATGTCACAGCACAGCAGATGTGAGGTATTTCAATTCCATGTTGGAAGGGATTAGATATTCACAGCGCTCTAGTAGAATGTGCAGTCAAATGATAAGGAGATGATTTGCCTGATAATTCATAGGACAAAGAGATGGTTTGGACAATCCATCTGGACATAGATTGTGAGGAGACTGATGCTCCTTTGTGAGGACCGTGGAAGCATAGAAAGTCTACTGGTTTTCCTGAAAGTTTTGGTCCTGTCGATGTAAAAGACAAGAGAGCATCTTACATCTAACAAATGGAGCATAAACTCCAGAGCTGTCGATGGTGATGGAAAGAATGATGGTAAGATGACTGGTTAATTGAGATGGAAATCAGATACAATCTTGGGCAAAAAGGAGACATCAAAATATAATGTGACTTTATCTGGGTGGAGTCGGATGAATGGTGGATCAGAACGGAGGAAAGTAAGTTTCCTAGCTCTTTTAGCAGATGTTATCACCAATAAGAAGGACGTCTTCAGAGACAGTAGTTTAAGATTTGAAGAAGCCATTGCTTCAAAAGGTGGACACATGAGAGCATGAAGGACAAGTTGCAATGACCATTGAGGTATGATACATTGACGTGGTGGACAAATGTTATTGAGTCCCTTAAGAAACTTCTTTATCATCAGGTGAGACAAGAGTTTTGCTGATACAGAGTTAGCTGGTTGATGGGCAACAATGGCAGAGACATAGACTTTTAAAGTGGAATAAGAGAGTCCAAATTCAAACAGATGGAGTAGAAAGGTAAGTAGTGTCTTCAAAGAGAGGTACTGCAGGTAGATCGAGAACACACTTCAAAGTGGGAGTCTCCTCCAAGCTGTCAGATTCAACTATGGAAGTCTGGATGGTAGACCATCCTGCCGTCCTGTGTCAGAAGGTCGGGAAGGAGAGGTAGTCAGAATAAATCCGTCGACATCTACCTCAGGTGAGTGAACCATGGTTGCCTCAAACACCAGGGAGCTAGGAGGATCGTGTTCGATTAGAAATGTCAAATTCGGATGTCCATTGAATGAGTGGTATTGGTGGGAATAAGTAGAACAATCCCATGTTTCAATCTGTCATGAACATGTCTCCGATGGAATTCTCGTCTGCTCTGGCTCGAGAGCAATAGACGCAGCATTTGGCATTTGTCTTTGAGGCAAAGATATCGATGGTGGGTATACCCCATCAACGGCAAAGGTGACCGAAGACGGAATCGTTCAGAGACCACTCGTGTGTTCTCAATGTCAAACGGCTGAGGTGATCTGCAATGTAGTTCTCATCTGTGGAAATGTGTACTTCTATCGGGAAGATGTCATGTTGGTAACACCATTCCCATAGCTTGATGGTGAGGTACTGGAGTGATAAAAAATGGGTGCCTCCTTGCTTGTTCACATAGTATAGAGCCGTGGTATTGTTTGTGGCGAGCTGTACTACACGTACCTTGATGATTGGTAGAAAGGCGTGGAAAGCTTTGATAATCGCTAGATGATCGATATGGCGCATTCTTTCTTGATTTGTCCATAGGCTGTGAATTTTGTAGTGAAGGCAATGTGCTCCTCATCCAGACGGGCTGGCATCGGCGGTAACTTGCACCGTCGGTTGGAACAGCTGAAAGGGTCATCCTATGAGCAGATTCAACAGAGATGTCCATTAGGTGAGTTGTTGGGCTAATTCTGGTGTTACTGTCAGTCACATAGATGGGTGGTCTATCATCGGGTTGAATAGTGACATGTACCGCAACTGAAGAGACCTTATTTTGAGTCGGGCATGCTGAATCACCGAAGCTGTAGATGCCATGAGCCTGAGGAGGCATTGGCCGTGATGGGCTGGTATGGAAGCTCCAAGTCAGAAAGGTTGAATGGCAGTCTTAAATCTTATAATTCTTTCTTGAGGGACAAATGTTCTGGCCTGTAAGGAGTCAAAGAAGGTTCAGATGTAAGTCCGAGGTGCAATTTTGTAAAGTTCACCTTGAGTCCAAGACCTTGAAGTGTGTTGAACGTGGTGGTGGTGGCTCTGACGGTGTTGTAACAGGATGGTGCGACTATCAACCAGTCGTCTCTATAGGGGAAGATGTTTATGTCCTGAAGCCGAAGATGCGCCATGACTGGTGCCATGTACTTTGTGAAGGTCCTCGGTGCCGTAGATAGACCAAATGGGAGAGAGCAGAATTGGTAAGTGATGTTGTCGTATCGGAAGCGCAGAAATTTGTGGTGGCATGGGTGACTCGATATGTGGAAATAGGCATCCTGAAGGTGGATCACGACGAACCAGTCTCCCTGTGAAAGTAGAGGAATGACAGTGTCTAAAGTCAACATTCTGAATTGTTGAGGTCAAATGAATTTGTTGAGGTACCTGATATTGAGGATGGGACGGAATCCTCCATCCTTTCTGGGGGGACCGAAAACACGGCTAGAGAAAAATAGAAAAACTCAAAGGGGAACGTGGAATAAATGATTGGAAATAAAAAAGGTAAATTTAAAGTACTGATTTAGTTCATCTGATTTAGAATGAAATAGAATCTCAAAGGCAAGTGATAATCGCCCAATTCTTCCGGAAGACATCTAAACGACACAGCTAAAAAAAGGAACTGAGGGGAATCTAGAATGGGCGGAGCATGCACTCCATGGGGGAATGTCCCACTAATCATGTATCTTTAAGGTACAGAATCTTCTGAGAGGTTCAGCGCAGGCGCAGAACAACTCATTTGTGTGCATTCACAGAGGCCACGAAGAAGAAACATAGATTATCATTCCCACTTGTTATATAACATGTAGTCATCTTGGCCTAAATGAGTTCTTCTAAGCAATTAAACATTAACAAAGTAACAAAGTTTAGTTTAAAATGAAGCACACTTTTTATAATACTTCAGAAAACATGAAGTGCTAGCTCTGAGAATCAAAAATGTTAAAGTGTAATTATGTAATTAACTATTTTGAAAAAAGGAAACTAATTCTGAGTTGCTCCTGTTATTTTAAATATATATTCTTTACAAAGAAAAAAATGCATTGTATTATCATTGTAATATGTTGCATTTTCATGTATATTTCTCTGATTCTATTTGTGACTCTAATCTGGTAAATAGGAAAGCCAAATAGCATTGCATACACCTGGGGGACAGAACAGTTTTAGGGATAGGATCATACTTCTGCACTATTAGGGAGCAGGCCGGGTAGGTGGGGCTCGTCAGCCTTAGAAGGCAGCCCATCTAGGAGAAGGAAAACTCCAATTTCAACCCTCCACTGCCTTGTGGCTATATCCAGTGATGGAAAAGGCTTCAGGAGTTAACCTCGAGGCAAAATCCAGAGCCAGAGTCCCGGAGGCAGTTCTGGCAACTCCTGCAACGTCGTTGAAACCAGTTGTATTGGCTCTTGCCTTTCCACTGGACTATTTCAGCGATATGGAGAGGGGAGTTTTGCTGCTTGGGTAACAGCCTATCCGCCATATTATTTTACCCAGGCTTTGTGCTCTGGAGAGGACACTCCAGCTTCACATACAGCGTTGAAATAACACAGGAAGTAGCAGTAACCGGTTATAAGTCTTTGCTCGATTAGAATAGAGCATGACGCTAGAGGCTACTTCTGACAATGAGAGACGTCACTGCATCTTGCTACGGTTTGTTAATCTCATGGGGTGCATGGGGTTTAGAGTGAAAGCGGACAAGCAGATTGACAACCCTGGATCATGCAACAATCATAAGAAAACTTTAGCAGAAATAAAAGTGGCCTTGGATTCCCTCGCCTCCGGCAAGGCATCTAGGAAGGATAACATCCTTGTTGAAGTCCTGAAGTGCTTTAAAGAGATCATCACCACTGAGCTGTATGAAATCTTTTGTCTTTGCTGGGGGGAAGGTGGAGTACCACAGGACATGAAGGATGCAAACATCGTCACATTGTATAAGAACATAGGAGACAGCGGTGACTGCAATAACTACCGTGGCATCTCTCTTCTCAGCGTTGTAGGGAAGCTGTTTGCCCGTGTTGTGCTGAAGAGACTCCAGGTGCTTGCAGACAGAGTCGATACAGAATCAGTGTGGATTTCGAGCTAATAGATCCACCACTGACATGGTATTCTCCCTCAGGCAGTTGCAGGAGAAATGAAGGGAACAACAACAGCCAATCTTTCTGGCCATCATAGAACTCACAAAGGCCTTTGATTTGGTTAGCAGGGACAGCCTTTTAAAATATTTCCCAAGATTGGATGTCCACCTTGATTCCTTAACAACATCAGGTCCTTTCATGAGGAAATGAAGGGCACTGTGGTTTTTGATGGCTCAATATTAGATCCCTTTGACATCTGAAGCGGAGTGAAGCAGGGCTGTGTCCTAGCGCCGACTCTGTTTGGGATCTTTTTTGCTATCATGCTGAAGCATGCCTTTGGAACTGCAACAGAAGGTGTCTATCTCCGGACTAGATCAGATGGAAAGCTCTTTAATCTCTCTAGAATGAGAGCGAAGACCAAAGTCCAACTGAAATGCATGCGGGACTTCCTCTTCGCCAATGATGCAGCTGTTGTTGCACACTCTGCTGAAGACCTCCAACAACTCATGAATCATTTTAGCAAGGCCTGCCAAGACTTTGGACTAACAATCAGCTGAAGAAAACACAAGTCATGTGAAAGGGTGTGGACTCACCTCCCTCTAATACCATCTCGACGCAAGAATTGGAGGTTGTTCATGACTTTTTGTACCTTGGCTCAACAATCTCTGACACTCTCTCCCTAGATGTCGAGCTGGATAAATGCACTGGCAAAGCAGCTGCCATGTTCTCTGGACTCACAAACAGAGTATGACTTAATAAGAAGCTGACGGCATATACCAAGACCCAGGTCTATAGAACCTGTGTCCTGAGCACACTCCTGTACTGCAGTGAGTCCTGGACCCTTTTTGCACAGCAGGAGAGGAACCTGAACACGTTCCATATGCGTCGTCTCTGACAAATTTTTTTTATCACCTGGCAGGACCAAGTTCCAAATAGAGTAGTCCTAGAACGAGCTGGAATTTTTAGCATGTACACCAGGGGTGGGCAATTAATTTCTATTGGGGGCCACATGAAAAATCTGAACTGTGTTCGGGGGCCGAACCAACTTTACTTAAAAATAAAATGAAACAGAGATGTTATGATTGTTTTTATTTTAAACTTGTTAATCTTCACAAATACTAAGGAGGTTTTTGCAGTATGTTAAAAATAAGCAACTGATCAACTTTAGACAAAAAGCTATAAATGGTTTTGATGTTCAAAACTGTCCACGGGCCGGTCAGGAGTGGTTCGTGGGCCATATGTGGCCTTCAGGCCCCACTTTGCCCAGGTCTGATGTACACATTATTGAAACTGCCACATCTACAATGGCTTGGGCATGTCGTGAGAATGGCTGATGGTCAGATTCCAAAGGATCTCCTGTATGGAGAATCAATGCAGGGAAATCACCCCAGAGGGAGCTCACAACTGCAATCCAAGGATATCTGAAGACCTTAGGAATGGACCTCAACAGATTGGGAAACCTTGACATCCGAGACCCTTGTCCAGCAGGCCGAGGCAAAGAGGCAGACCCAAAACCAGCAAAGTCAGGGAGCTGGACAGGGGACAGATCGTATTTGTCTTTAGTGTGGAAGGGACTGTCACTCTCGAATTGGCCTCCTCAGCCACACTAGACGTTACCATAGTCTCTCGAGACTGAAGGATGCCTGATATTACTTTCTTCAAACCACAGGACTGTCTGGACTTGCAAGCTTCGCAGAAAAAAATATGCATCTGTGTTTTGTAAACTAAAATAGCCAATTAATGCTGACTTTAAAAGAAACTGCCAGATAGCAATTCTAGCTATTCAAAGCCTTAGTTCCACAAAATTTGTAGCTTCCGAAAAGGCAACAACAAAACCAAAACCAAGAACATATATTTGTTTGGCCATACACAGAAAAACATGTAATACAATACATTTCAGTAACATCTTTTACTGTACTTCTGTAAATACCAGAACACGTCTTAATACCATGCACAAATATTTCACTCCTGAAAAAATGTACTCCTGTATCACATCTATTTTTAAATAAATGCTATCCTCCTATTCTTAACCATACAAACTGTTTCTTTCTTCATCCAATTGTTAACATACTAGCAGAATTTTTTAATGATATTCAATGGCCTATTTTTCTGACAGCAAGTAAATGTAACAATCCCTTAACTGTTTTCTATTTTCTGACTCAAAGACATTAGCTAATTTCATGTTCATTACAGGCTGTTAATGATCACAACAATATGTTGTATTTTAAACATCTCTCTGGAGATATATCAGGGTTCACATGATTACTTGGGCTGATTTGATTGTTATTACACATCTACCTGTGGAACAGCACACAATAATGCAGTATTGTACACATGTTAATCATACCACAAAGATCTACTGTGACTCCCCAATGCTCTCTGTTGTTCAATTCACATTAAGAGAAACCTTAACCTAAAACAAGGAGCACAAAGCATGAATGTGCTCCCAATGAAAAAGTACAGAACACTGCATCTTACTGTAACTGAGAAACTTCATGGATGGCCCATTGCCAACTGTTAAGGACTTACTTCTTTTAGTTGATCAGCGCTCCCCCATGAAGCTGAACGCTGATGCGATCTCTTTTCTAACACCTCTTCTGCCCAACAGTTAGGTGTCTAAATAAATGAAAATCAACAAGTATGATTTGGTGACTCTGCTCTTGGTTTACATGTGTAATACAAGAACAAACCCCATTCTGCAACTATAGTTTACTTTGAAGGCATTTATACACTCATCTTACAGCAACCTTAAAACAGTATTTATTATTCAAAAATACTAGACACAATCAAAATTATGAAAACACTGACTGGTATTATATGACAGATACAAGTTTTAACCAATATCGGTGCAGTCTGAATGCTGTTCCTAATACTGCCATTTTTTTTTTTAGCTCAAATGGTGTTATTTCTGAGATCTGCAACTGCTTACTGTGTGAAATGTCTTGATATTGTTCCCAAAGTCCCAATGACTACAGGGACCACTGAATGGTGTTTCATCCACAAGCTATATGTTCTGATCGGGAGATCTCTGTATTTTGTTAGTTTTCCGTTGACTAGTATTACATGTACAGTAATTGTTGCTGTTATTTAGGGCTTGGATTATGAAAGAAACTGCTATGGCTTGTCCAAGCTACAACTTTGTGGATAAAGAGATAAAATTTAAACCAGAAGACTTTCTGATTCACAGCTCACAGTTCTGCTCACTGCACATCAACTTTCTGTCAAAACATAACAGAAAACATATTTTTCTCCATACTTTCCTAACCACAATTTTCACCTTAGCCCTTTGCTACATATATACAGAAATGCACACTTTCAACATGCACCTAATTTAAAAACTTATCGTAAGCAAGAGTGCAGACTATGCAATATAATTTATATTACATGCCTCATTTTCTTTAAACGACATCTGCACTACTAAAAATGTGATTTTCAAGGATACAATCAGCCACACGAACATAAACAGATGTGCAAAGTTTCAAAACAATGGCGGCATTTGTTTAGAAATGCACAAATAAAATACCTGAGAGAAGCTTCAAAATAGATTACTTTAAATCAGAAAAAATAGCTCAAAAAAGTGTGTGGTGGTGGGGAGACAACTAGAAATTTTACTAAAACATCAAAAGTATCAATCTATGGAAATCACAGAAATGAAAGTCACAATTTTGTTTAAGAAGTGTCAGAATTTAAAATAAAGCTGCTTCTCAGAGCTTGCCCCCACAGAGAAAATCTATTTAGTCAATACCATTTAACTTTTTACACTTTTTGACACCAAAATAGCACCATCATCAATTAATATATTGTACTTTAATAATATATGTACTTTAATAATATATTTATATCACAACATGCTTACATTGAATAGGTAGTGAACATTTAAAATATTCATATAAACTTGTAAGAGACCATAAAATTACAGTTGCTCTACCAATCCTACATTACAGATAGGTGCTAGGTACGCTTCCTAGTGTTGCTGGACTGCAACTTTCATCATCTGTTACCAGTGGCTGCACTGTTGCTAGTTACAACCCAATAATATCTGAAAGGCTTCAAGAGTGTAAGTTTGCTTAATTACTCTCTCTTTTCTCTTAGAATAATCAGATGAAGTAGCAACAGCAGATACAGCAAGAAATGGAATAAGAGGCAGATGTGGGCAACCAAACAAGCATACATTGAAAAGCAAAATGGGATGAAAGTAATATAATAGCTCTCCTGATGACTTTTCCTGTCAGCCTTCTTCACTGTTCAGCTTTCACACTCATACATAGTGATTGGGAATACAAGACAGTGGATGATCTTGGTCTAGGTCTCCAGTTACACATCCCTACACTTCATTATATTTTATAATTCATTCATTGCTGCCCTTCTGAGACTCTTCTCATTTCTTGGCTGCAGTCTCCACGTAAGATTGATGACTGAGCCAAAGTATACAAAAATCTTTAACTTTCAATTTCTTCATTGTCAATATTAAACTTGTGCTCTTCTGTAGTCATAATTTTGATCTTCTTAATGTTCAACTGCAGTCCTGTTTTGGCACTTTCTTCTTTTACTTTCACAAAGTCATTTCAAATCATTGCTGCTTTCTGTCTGTAAGATAGTGTCATCTGCATATCCCAAATTATTGATGGTTCTTCCACTAGTTTTCAAGCCTCCCTTCATCTGAATCAAATGAGCGGACATCCATTTTGCCAAAACAAAACAAAGTGCCAAGCAAAACAAAGTCTGGTGCTTCATTTCATTTTGGCAAAATGGCTTGCACAAACTGAAGGTGTTTTTTTTTCCAATTTGTAGTTTGGTTCATGCCCATCTCTATCAATGGGAAATAGGGACATGGCAATCTGAGGCAAGGTGACATGGAGACATAGCAGTCCTATTTGTACTTCTCTTTTTAATCTAAACTTTGTGCTAAACTGATGAGTAAACTATTTTCTAGAGGCCTCTAAATTTTAAGCTGGGATCCAGGTTAAATGAATGTGCATAACTGCTATAAGAGGAATCTTGGGAAATGTGGCTCCCTAGAGTGTGAGAATTGTGCTAGATTCCTAAACCTCTTCACACAACCAAAATGCCCACAATTCTCCAAGGAGACCAATTACAGAAACCCTCTAAGTAAAGTAGTATAGGTATTTAGAAAATGCTGAAAGGATTACTTTCAGGTACTTAATGTAACACCTTGCATTCAGTCCACCTATTTTTCATTTGTCCTTTTACACTCAAGTGGCACATGGAACTGTCTTACCCCAGCCTAGCTAATGAATTGCAGCTGATTACTCTTCTTTTAAAAGAAGGTTGGCAAAGAGCCTCCATCCAAAGCATGCAAGGTCAGGCTATTGGCTCATCTAGTATTCTTTACTACGACTGGTAAAATCTCAAGCAGAGGTATTTCACATGGTCTACTACCTGATCCTTTCAACTGAAGATACCAGAATATTAACCAGCTACATATTAAAGCCTTGACTAAAGTGATCAGTAGGGGCTGTATATTCGAAGAATGTGCATTTTCAATGAGCTGTGTCATTTCCATTTTAACAGCCAGGATCAGAAAAGTATCATGGCACATAAAGCAAGTATTCCTGATACGTGTTGTAATCCACCCAAATACAGATGCTGTGATACTCATGGGAGTGGGATACAAATTGCATTAAAAAAAACAATAATTCTTTACACTGCTATGTAGGTATGAGAGTATCCATCCATACCAACAGTACCCCTGATTTAAAGTAACCATACCAAACAAATAAACTCAAAGGTAAGACTACTAAGAACGGGTTTAAGATTCAAGTGTATTACCAAAATATTGAAGCTCCTTGCCAAACATTCTTTTTTAAAAAATGCTAATAAACTACAACTAACTAGATGTACTGATTACAACAACCTCAAGATTTCAATAGTGACTGAAATCCTGTTCTGCAAGTTGCACCAACTTGGGGAACAGTACTAAGAGTGGTGATGTCATTAGCAGTGATGATTGTTTGGAAATAATTTCTGGTTCCCCCAAAAGGTTTTGAAGTTTCAATGGAAACCTTTTCATAATGGGGAAGCTCGTGGATGCTATAGGTCTGAGGGTAGTCTTTAATCTAAAACTGTAAAGCTGTCACCATTGGTAAAGTCATCTCCATTTTGCAGCCCCCAATGACAAAGGGGATTTCATGAGATCTTTAGACCTTTGTGGGTGGGGGAATTAAAAAAAACTTTATTTCCAAAAATCCCTGTGGATGATGAATGATAAGCCTTACACAGCATAGCTGCACAAACAGGATTCCAGCCAGTGATTCGTAATTCACTAGGGAAGATGTAAGCACTGTGAATTAAGTTTTAACACTGCTCTAAACATCCTTCATATGGAAAGGTATAATTTAACATTCTTACCACCTACTCAGCTGTGAACATCTTCAAGCATATTAAATTCAGAAGATGAAGTAACAGCTACACTGTTGGTGCATTCAGAAAATTAATTATTCACTCACAGTGAGTCATGACAGCAGAGATGTTCAGAAAGATACAAGAGGTCAAATGCCCTATCTACCATTCTGGCTCAGCACAATTCTGTTTAAAATGGATTCGAAAAGTACTGTAGCAGTATTTTTTTTCCAGATCAATGAGATGGAAATGAGTTTACATTTCTATCACTTTTCTTAATTACAATGAACATAGAGAGAGGAAAAGTCTCACCAAGTCATCTGTATATAAAAAATGAAAATTTCAATGTACAGTACTACTATTAAAGAAGTGTTTGTTTTTTTAACTCAAAAATATACTGAACTTTTAAAATATATCTACCAGACAAAGAGAAACCAAGTCCCTTTTCCCCCTCAATAGCTTTATTCAGGCATTCAGAAAATGGCTAATCTGAAAGCGTGAGCAGAGTTCTAGATCTACCCCCCAGTTTTCACTATCTCCACCTGAGTACAGACAGTCTGGTATATAGTAGTATACAGTACATCCATCTTCTCTGCACAATTAGAAAGTATGATTCTTCAAGGATCACAATCATATGGAGCCACTTCAGACAACCCTTATTGCCATGGAGACAGGGACAAGCAGCAGATGGGGCTAGAGACTCTACTTTTAAAGCTACATACTCATAAATGAAGAAACATTTAATTATTAATATAAGCAGCAGCACGGTTCTTTGACCACATTCTACAACCTTCAGTACTTCATGAATATCTTTTCCCTTCCCCTTTTTCCCCCAGCACTAACTGTACCCTGGAAAGACTACTACACTGGCAGAAAGCCCTTCCAACATTGTAGATGCCTTATATATAAATAACACTGCTTGTTAGAGACAATTATCAGGGATCATCCCTGCAAACTTGCAATCTACCATTTCTGCTGTCCCAGAAACAGTACGTAATGCTGATGTTTTGGTACAAAAGAAAACAAACTATTTAAGTCCAGGACAGTTGTCCATATGTATATGCACAGTCCCGTTATGATCGCTGCAACTGTCTGCCAAAGAACAATCACCATGTACTTTTGTCCTTTTCAACATTTTAGAAGAGTCTTTTCTATGCATTGTTTATTTTATACATTGTGATGTAAATAAAACATGCAGAGAGAACAGATTGTTGAAGTATTTCCTCGTGTGGGGGTGTGCATATGTGGGAACAGCT